CACTGTAGGACACTCTGTATGTGACGTTTCGATCAAAAATGGTCGCATTTTTAACGGTCGAGTTTCTTTTAAATCGAGGCTTTTTTTCAGGATTTCCTTTTCAAGTTTTGTTTCTTTTGTGCCATTTTTATTCAAGCCTAGTTTTTCCGACGTGACGAAATTACGTGGACGTTATCTTAAAATTTAAGTAAGTATATATATTATAGTCGACTGCAATACATAGTTTATTAAATTAGAATGTAAATTTAAATACCTAATATGTTTAATTTAATTTTGAATTAACATAATTTAAAAATCGCTTCTACGGATCTACGAGTATATAAAACAACGGAAAACCATATGGACGTTATATAATATTTCAAATTCTAATTATAGCAGATTTGAAAATTACAAAAACCCTTGAAATGACCTAAAAACTGAAGATAACGAATTGAAAATAAACAAATGTAACAAAAAATTGTATATATTTGTTCAAAAATACATGAACCGACTTCGTAACAAAATGACCATAGGTTAGCGAGCTTGGAAAATAATGCAATGTACATTGAAATCCAATACCTTACTCGTGAATTATGATTTTATCTCCAATTACAGATTAAGAAAAGTAATATAATGTTAATCGTGTACACGTACCTACACGGACACCTTAACTATACACATTTTGATATGCCGATATATCAAAGTCAAAGCTCGAACAAATTGTAAAGTATTATTATCGTAAAAACAAAATAATTATACCTACTTACTTTAAATTATGTTTATACACAGAATCCTATCACCGCCATCACTATTGACACAAAAGTATATTCTGTCTTAAAAACCACGTTAGGCGTCACTGCACGTGTACACCTAGATAAATACACACGCACATACGAAAATTGACTTTTATTTTGTAGTATAGCTGTCTCGCACGTGTTTGCCCGTGTCAGTATTGAACGACAAAAAAATAAAAACGCATTTTTCGGTGATTCCCCGTTTCCACCCTCGGTCATAATCACTATAGGTAACTTTTATTACCCATAAATGTTTAAGTATGCATTTTATTGCCAAATAGCTGTCCCACTCAGCTTTGTATACAGTATGAAAATAATCTAACACAATTTATTAATATTTATTTCCAGCGTCACTTCGACTGTAGACAAATTGAGAGAAAATAGACTATGATAGTTTGGGTAGAGGTCACGGGTAGAGAAGAATCTGAAGTAATATTTAATGAAAATAAACATAAGTGGAAATTGGAAGTTCAAGTGCAAGTTTAGAACGAGGGTGGCCAACCCCAAAAAGTTGGATGACAGCGAACAAGAAGAAGATATATAGCTGAAGAATTTGTATGTTTGAAAGCGACAATCTCAGTACCAGTCCAATTAAACATTTTTTTTTGTGTTAGATATCCCATACATAGATGTTAGTTATAGACAATTTTTAAGTTCAGAACCCAGAGGGTGGTTGATACTGGATTTCTGTTATTATTGGGACGAAAACCAAATTATGTTTGTTGGTTTATGTGTTACTTTGGCAAAATGGATGAAAAAAAAAAAACAGTTATTAGTAATTTGTAAGTTGTCACAGTAGGAAACGAATTTTTTTTTTTCGTACAAAGCTGTGCAAGACAGACAGTTATAAATAATGTATTCGTCGAATACGGTTTATCATTGTTCATTTACATCCGTAGATGATCTATAAAGGTATAAAGGATCGGGTTGATAAAATGTTTGAATGATTAGGACGGTGTTGACTGTTTATAATAATAATATTGTTTTTAGATAAAATAACGCGGCTTTAATGCGTATAAAATAATATAATATTTAGATTCGGTCGGGGTTCAATTTTCGAATGAATAATATTCACGTATACGTATAATATAATTATAACGTATAATATTAATTGAAGGGTTGGGCCGCCGAAGAACTAATTAAAATAACCGGGGGATAGCGTGTTCGGTATAGTTCGTTTGCGAAAGTACATATTTATATGTATAGGTAGGTAGCAGGTACAGTTTATAAATAATAATTCGCGGTAGTTTATTATATTATAATATATACATTTGACTGGATGTCTCCGGGAAACAAAAAAAGTAAAGAAAAAAGTTACCGTAACGGCACAAAAAAAAAAAAAAAAACTAGATCTAAGATAGTATTCATTTACATTAAAACTTGTCATCGTAAATCTACCCCGGCGAAACAATAGCGTGGACGGACGTTTAAAAAAAATTACGTGCTCGACGAATATATAAAGTAATTAAAAAAATTACTTTAACGAAACTACCTACTACCTAGCTACTTTTTTTTTTTTTTTTTCGCAAATTCTATTATTATTATTATTATATTATATACTTAACCGTGTAATAACAAAAAATAAAAAACAAAACAACGATATATTATTATATCGTTAAATTAACGTTTTACAGACGATAAAAATAACATTATGATACGAGCACACAACAAGTATATTATTAAACACTGCGCGTTGCCCGAGACAAATTAAACGCACGTGGCAGTAACCCGTACCTTACCCTCACTTAGCCACCTATCCCGTCAATACCCCTTTCATCACCCTAATCGCATTCTGATCGTCGATATTACGTTTACGTGTACAAATTTATTGCAGATCTTATATCATCTCGGATGTTGTTGTTGTTTTGTTAACAAAGATCTCCATTATAAAACTACTTAACCGGTTTTGATAAAATGTGTAACCTAAACCTTTAAGAGATGATATCATAAGGGAATCAAACAAAAAAACGATCGGCAAGAAGCGGTCAAGTAGATCTCAAGACTTTGGCTGGCATACGATATAATTATATTGTATACATACATAATACTACAAAAGGTATCTTTAGATTTATTTATAATTATCAGGGTTTGATCTGGACAGAGAGGAGGTGGACTCTAAAGGGTTGGGTATTATAATAAACTGTTCGAATATTTTAGATTCCAATGAGTATAGTTTTACCAAGATGTGTTCGTTTTTTCGGTCGTACCGTTTTTGGTTAGTAAAAATCCGGTAATAATGTTCTTAATCTTTTACCTAATACATATTTTGTACAATTTAAAATATTATTCTACATTCGTAAACAATTTTCTACAAAAATTTAAAAACTGACAACAGACAACCGAAGCACAAATTCGAATAAAAATTATTAAAATTCATAAAACATTATAAGTAAAATCAGGGCTACATACAAATATAAAAATATAATTCATCGTGTATTCATGTCATATAAATACAAACTAAATTACCCTAGGTTTATATCCTACTTTCCTAACTTACAATCCAGTCACACATCCGTATGGGTGCAAAGTATGTCGGTTTTTTATTATAATTATATTTTACAATTCGAATTTGAAAGAATTGCACCGTAGTAACGATATTATGTAGGTTTTCTAAAAATAATGAATTTCGATTAATACGACAATATACATTTCGGCATAATGATACGGTTTGCGTAAATAAAACAATTACCTCTATTTATATGAACGTTACGCCGAAAACGATTTTCACGTAAAATGTAATATTAGATTCTTAACGGAGCGAGGAATGTACTGGTTTCACAATGCTGTTTATTATTACTGTTGACAACCTTTGTTCGCGCATCGTTATCACCGGTGCCCACCAGCGTTATCGGACCGGCCGTCCGGCGCCCCTGCTTTCCCCGAAGCTTAGTCGTCGCGCGAACCGGTACCGCTCGCCCGTTCGACCAGTGTGCGCGCGCGACCTTTGCCGTACACTCGCGGCCAGTCGCCTGCGTCCGTTGCTGTGTTCGGTGCCAAAGTCGTTTTGGTTTCAGTGCGTTTTAGTTTCCGTTGTTGTCCATTAACGTTACCGGGTCGTTTGTCCACCCGGGTTTCAGCGCGAACGCCCGCGCCTCATATAATCGCCGCGTATCACGTCGACACCGCTCGTGTCTGCGCCAGCGAGCCGCTTTTTGTGCCGTGCGCGTGTCGCGGCTCCGTCGTCCAGGCCCCAGTTAACGGGAGCTTAATCAAATCAAGTCCGTTTATATCCGTTACGTTTCGTTCGCGCAGTGTCATCCGCTTGCGGCCGGTTCGTATCCGCTTTGCGCCCGTGCGTCGTTGACCGCTGGTCGGCGGGAAAATTGTCCTCCGCGGTCCACATAACCTCAAACAGAGAGGTCGGAGCCAAAGCGCCGGCACCCCGTGGGACTTTTGTCGCCGTCAAGTCGCCTCAACCCGCTGCTTAACTGCCAAACCACATTGGACCGCCGCCGATAACGTCTGGTCGTGAGTAGCGATAGCCTTGTATAATATGTTTTTCGTTTTTTTTTTTTTTTTTTATCAATTTATAGGTTAGCAAACTATTCGTTTATGTACACCCGTGTGATCAAGTTTCCGATTACGCCGTTATTATTTTCCTTTTGCTACTATTTTCATTTGTATATATGTATTGCGCGCGAATCTAACTTTAGTACCGGTACTCTGTGCCAGCTTATGTCTGTTTTGTATATTTAAATAAAATAACGTATGGGCCTTGCCGCACGTCCCCGTTAAATCACTTGTTCAACGTCATTTATAAGTATGGTCGTCTAGCCCATAATCCCCAACCATCCCAAAATATTCGTCTGTTCTCCGTCGATGTAGTTATTGATGCTAACCGCCCATTAGTAGGAGCATCTCGACTGAACATCTGGTAGCAGAGCGTGGTTTTTCGTTGTTTTACGGTATTGTCACATTTTCGGAGAAACACCAATGGATAAAAGGTTGTCTGTTACGATTTTTACATTTATATAGGTCAGTATTTACGTGGGTAGGTATTATTTGACTAAGTTGTACGTACCTCTTGGATTTGTTTTGTTGTCTAGTCGCATACCTTTAGTATAGGTAAATGTCCATGGGCACTAATACAATTTGCCGCACACTCGGGTTCACTGTGCCGCGTATTGTCACCTTTTACTATTAATACGACTAAAAACTGTGTCTTGGTTCTTCTCTTTATTTCTTTTTTTATTTGTTTTTTCCCCATTTCTGTACGTTAAATTAATAATGGTAGAAACAAAGGAAGAGAAGATGGCTCGGGAAAATCGGTTGTTGGAAAGAGCCAAAGTTGTGGCTATCATCAATCGGGACAGTACGGTTAACCGTGTACGAGCGTTAGCTAACACCGCATCGTGTGTGGAAGGACATTCGGACTTGATACCGATTTTTTTGGTTGCTGCTGGGGACCTAGAGTCCTTATGGAAAGATTTTATGTCACATAATCAAACGGTCTTGGTTGCTCTGTGCGATTTAAATTTGGTTTCGGAATTTTTTACCCAGTTAGAGACAGAGATTCGGGCTCTATATTCGAGTGTAAAATCTGTGTTCGAGAATTATTCGAGAAATATAAATTTAAAAAAGAGCTGAAACTGTGAATGTGAGCGGCCACTATTTTTGGTGAGAAGTTGGGAAGGTAAGATACATAAGGTTATTTCATTTATTTCTATGTGCAACGACAAACTATTGCTTGACGAAAGACGATTCCAAACGCAGTTCGGTAATACATAGTTTGAAGTGCCGTCGTTTTTTTGCGATTTTCGTTTAAATTTGATTTCAAAACGCTTATTAAACAAATTACTTCTGTAAAGTACCATTTAGACAACTTGAGCTTTCGGAAAAGGCGCCGCGCGTGAAAATCAGAGTAAGTTTGCTAGTAAGAAACGTGTCCACAGTCTAGAACAAAGATATCAATAATATCTGAAACATACTACAAAACAAATGAAAGGGGTGTAATTAGCCCCTAGAAGAGGGCTAACCCTTCTACATAATTTTCGAAAATGGTCCATTCCCGTCACCGAAACCCTGCCCAAATTATGCCACTGCAGAGTATCTGATGGTACCTCTTGTATTATTGCTTTTTTAATATTGATCACTGATAATAATCATTTAGTGTAACAACATAATATTATGATTGGCCAATGCAAAAAGAAGACATATAAAATGTAATCTGAAAGTATGTGCGAATTAAGTGAAAATTAATTCCTACGACACAATATATATTATAATAATAATAATAATATGTTTTTGTCTACAGGTTTTTCGTTCGGCGGTTTTTTTATTTTTAGTTTTAATTACGTTTAAAACAAAACGGCCGAAAGAACCCTAATACCTTTTACATATATACCTACTGCACCGTTGCTAATGCGCGTTAAATATTATAATACTATTATAATAATTTTCATATTTAAAAAAAAAAAAAATTGGATTATATTATAATAAATATAACGCATAAGACTATTATAAATATATATATATATATTTGCATGGCACTTTGAGTACGAAAGAGTTGAAAAAAACCTTCTGTACAGTGATGTTTTAAATTTTTATCGTTATCCTGCGTTTTTCATTGAGGATTTCAAATTCATTTGATTTCTGTTTATTATTATTATTATTATTATTTTTTTTTGTTTTTTGTTGGTCAAATTGGAACAATAATAGTTTAAAATGTCCATCGTTTAATGGAATCGTTTAAGACTTTTTCGAACGATATTTTCAAATTGTTTCCCCCTATGCTCCTTATATTGTATGCGTTAACCCTTGAACTGCTATAATCATTTGAATAATTGTGTATTGAAAAATATAATATAAATCACATTCCTACCGGTATAGAGTAATCAACTGTTTCGGCTACCAAAAGTATTGAATATCCCCTAAAATATTGACTATAAAAAAAATAACAATAATAAAGAATAAATTCTTGAACAACAACCATATGCAACACAAAACAAAAAAAAAAATGTATACCAGCAAAGTGCCTTGAACAAATTGAATATTGCAGTAAAAGGGTTAAACGAGCATACATTTGGATTTACAATAAAAGCAATATACTTTATTATTCCATTCTACATTTTAAACCGTTATAACTTGTCAACGAAAGATTTATCTGATATATTAGTGCTATGCATTATCAAAGTTTTTGAAAAAATACTCTCTATTTCAGAGGATTTTTTAGTGAATATTCTCTTCGTGTCTCCGCTCTCCCAGATAAAACTTTCCTTTAACTTTTGGATTTTTTCCAGTTACCACTCACCCTACCATCGAGAGCATTTCCTTTATGGAATAAAATAATTTCTTAGAAAACCTTCTATTTCTATCAAACAATTTACTTTTTGTATAGGTTGTCAAATATACTTAACTGCAGTGCATCAATTTGTATTGAAATTCAGGGTTCTGTTTGGTAATAAAAAGTTGATATGTATGTGCTATATGAATTAAAGGTTAAAATTTGGAAAACATTTTGGTAACGATATTGATTCAACGATTATTCTGTTATAAAAAAACCATTCTGAAAAAATCCTCAATTAATTTTACTCAAACTATTCGTAGATATAATATAACCGTAGTACAAACATAAAATCACCCTATATTTGTCAATTGAATCGTTATAAATGATTTCGTATTTTTTTCTATTATTATTTTCGAATTATGATGATGAAATAAGAGTTACAACTATTAGAAGGTTAATTTAAATATGCAAAAAATGCAAACTAACGCACTAAGTATTTATATAATTGTATAATATACTGCTCCGGCGAGCACGAAAAAAGTAAGCTTTATTAACGAATTATTAAAATTGCAAATTAAAATCGGACGAATTGTCATCAACACTATTGAACGTAATTTTTATTCTATTGAGATAATTGCTTTCAGATGTTACATTATCGTCAATCTACGTGTCTGTGAAAATAGTTATGATATAATACAATTAGGGTGATACTTTTATCGTGAACCTGTAGAAATTTGCCTTGAGACTTCAAATCCTTATTTTATTTTTTATAGCTATGTGTTTTTCTACTCAAAAAACAATTGTTTTCAATAAAAACAATTCAAATTATTTGTATAATCGTCCACCTTAATAGATGCGGATTTTTATACTTTATTTTCCTAACGGTTTTTTTTAAAAAAAATCCAAAAACTGGCATCAACTATCTGTTTTATTTTCGTCGATTTCTGGATTATCATAAGAGTTATCAATTGATTGTAATAAATTATCGTTACTTTTAGTAGGCACATAAAAAAATTGCCTCAAATTCTCGACCTTCCATAATTCTTCCTACAAAAGTGGCCTACCAAATGTTGTGAAAAGTGTCAAGCTTGTTTACTAAAATATATAAAACATTTTTAAAAATAATTTTTTCGTACCAAAATATAAAATAAAATTATGCAATAATAATTTTCCAAATTTCCAATACGGTTTCTAAAAAAATTGCTTGTTTTGTTTGTTTTAATCCGAGTAACGCTTCAAATTGTTCAACCTTAAAAGTTGTGGAATTTTCATTAGTAGTATTTAAAACGGTGCATTCGTCAAAATATTCAGGAGTTCTACCCCGAGGATCTTTTTTGTTGTTTATTTTTTTTCGATTTCTGGGTTGCCTAGGAAACATGAAAAAAGCCACGAATAATACTACTCCGTACAGAATCGTTTTTTTCGTTTGCAGTGGTTTATCGTTGTATACAGAATAAAATCAAATCATTTTGTACATCTTATCTTCTCAACCATTTGTTTAAAATAGTGGCCTATTCATGAGCAATATTCAATTTTTCAAATTGTAATCCGAAAATTATAATAGGTACCGAAATAATTAAGTTCATTTATAAACGATTATTCGACTATATAATGACAGAAATACGCTAAAACAAAATTCACACGAAATATTTGTAAAGATCATCGCTGATGAAATAATCGTTCTGTAAATAAAACGATAATCTTTGAGTCCGGCAGGCTATAATAGTAGGTATAGGATATCGATGGCATTGCACATACACGCATTGTATAAGTAAAAAAAGGAAATCGTGCTAAATCACGCGTACAGTATAATATCGTTTTTTACGTCATCGAAAACGCCACTGTAAACATACATGCATTTTGAAAATAGGACGTTCCGCCTTTCGCGTATCGTAGTTTCCTTGTTATTTTACGTGTTCGATTCGGAATTGCTGACCTTAAGATTATTATTCTATCGCAATCTCAGTCTTCTACGAATACGTATCCCTTCGAAATACATTTTTAAACGAATTTTTCTCCATACGCCATTTTAACCGTCACAATAATATTAAGTCGAATAAAATACGCGCATACTCAATTTAAATTTAAATATAAAAGAGCTGATACTAGGGAAGGGTACAGCCAATGTTGTAGGTGAGAAGTTGGGAAGGTTGGATAGCTAAGGTTATTTCATTTATATCTGTAAGCAACGATAAACCATTACTGACAAAAGACGATTCCGAGCGCAGTCCGGTAATACATAATTTGAAGTGTTGTAATTTTTTTTACGATTCTCGTCAAAATTTGATTTTAAATTTCTTATGAAAAAAAAACGCCGTTACACTCTATATTTTTTTTATTGATCATTAAATACGACTTATAATGGACCTATTGTAAAATTTTCAAGCATTTCAGTTCAGTCTAACTATTTTATTCATAGAATAAATACTAAATAAAAATTATGTAAAAAACTTGCAAAATTAAAATGTCTTTAAATAGCTCATAAATGGCTTAAATTTTCTAAAAAAATTTCCATATCTAAAAGAAGCAAATATAAGTATTTTGTGTAAATTTTCAAGTCCCTACGAATATTTTTAACTGAATAACATTGAAAAAAACTTAATCTAAAATAATAAAATAATAATTTTCGTAAATTTGCCCATTCTTTCTACGTATTTTTCGATTTTACTCAATATTAAAAATTTTCAATGGCAATCAAAAAAGGCTTTTCTTAGTTAACAATTAGATTAAACATATACCTTTTTTTTGTTTTTTTTTTTTATATTAATATTTCTGTTAGAAAACGAAAAGCGTAAAAATGTTAAACAATGAAATCGTTGTGCCATAGCTTTTAAAAAAAATTTTTTTTTAGTTTTACTCAATTATTATAAAAAATACTTTAGATATCAAAAAACGAATTTCTTTGGAGTTTGTTTTATATTAAAAGAACGAAATCAATATCTAGTCGTTTTTCGACTGAAGCAATATTTCTGGTAGAAAAACATAAGTTATAAATATGAAAAACAATGAAACGCCACTGTGAGCCATACATTTACCGCCAGGTATGGTAAATTTTCTTTCCGATCGTTTTTCCTAATTATTTCGAAAACTCATTAGCAAATCAAAATTAAACTGAACTTCCTTTCGGAAAAAGTATTACACTTTACACATCGGAGAAATATTTCAAGTAGAAAAGTTGTTTACAGATGGAAAAAAAAAATGAATAATAATTCATCACATCACTGTAAAACCAATAGATCCCTCGTTACGCTCCGAATCTAAAATATTCTATAGTAACCGACTGACAAAATATTATTATCGTCGTTTTTTTTTCGGCCAATTACCCCATAATTATTATAATATTATAATAACGGTGTTCACG